AGGCTCACTCGGACCTTTGCGACGCTCCCACCCACGGGAGCAGCGGAGGCGAAATCGCCGCCTTTGCTCCATAAGACGCACAGACTCCCCCTCACACATTTTTTTGGGGGGGGGGAGTGTGTCTTATGGAGCAAAAAATACGGTAACTTTAAGACCAGGCTCACAGAGATTTTAGAAACACAAGGTTCAAGAACAAACTTAAAACCTCTTTACCATCTTCTCACATACCCTCCTGATCAGATCTTCAACATTGTCGTGTGGGAAGGATCGGATGGCTGCTATAGTGCGGATCAAACGCTCCGACAAAGAATATTTACTCTGAATGCTCTGCATAATATACCACATACTGGAACTCAGTTTCCTTGGGTTACTTCACATGCTCCAAGTTGGCTGGAGAGGGGAAGACATACAAAGGTTAGCTTTGAAAGGCTTTTGAACACTTATTTCTCTACATGCAATCGTAACGGTTACAAATAAAAAAGGCCTTAGCAACTTCTTACATTTCACCAACAGGAACTGTTTCATCTCTGATATAGGTAGGCCACTGGCAACATTTTGGAGTGAAAAATGGAGCTATGTTGCATTTAAATAAACCATGAATGCTGGTCAGAAATAAATCGACAAAAGGAGCCTGGCATTTAAAGGCTGACTGGCACCTGCAATATTCATCACTCGACTGTACCAGCCATCACTCCCACCACAATCCTTCCAAAGGGAGTCGTGTTCATCTGCATAGCTCTGGAATCATCATATGATGAATAATCAAACAAGGAGGAACAAGCAGGGTGGATAAATATCAAGGTGTTTTTTAAACATAAAATTGATTTAAATAAATCAGGATTAAAATTACAATTTAATTTTTTTAAAATTATTTTTTTAAATTTAAATTGTCAAAAAAAATTCATTTTAAAAATAATTAAATTGAAATCAAATCCACCCAGGGAACCAGTCATAAACCTTGTTCAGAATAGCAATAACATATTAAAAATGAGGGGAAATTCTACAAAATATTTAATTCTGAGACCTGAGAAATATTTAATTCATGACCTGATACAGAGTTATACCATTAAATGACATTGCCCGGCGCTTTCTGTCCTATCAGTAGCTTTCTTGGATTCCAGGAGGAGAGGGATTCTCTCCTCAGTCCATTACTCAGGATCCTTCAGTTGAAGGTGCTAGGGACTGTGATGCAAAATATGCATCGCTGCCAGAGCTGGACTAAAACTCCCAGAATCCCCTTCTCAGTATGATCAATATCTCCAGTAGAGGGCCTGGGAGGAGTTGTCCAAAAATAATGTTTCCACTCTCTGGCTCTACCATTGTGCTACAGCCTCTCCCCAAAGCAATGCTCCATGCATTTAAAGGTTTTACTCTTTAAGGGCAATTCCTGAAAAATAACTGCAAAAGAACATCCAATGCAATTAAAATATCTGTGTTATTAAGGTGGGGGGTGGGACCCAGATCAAGACATTTTCAACATTCCCTCTAAGTTGTGCGTGCAGAGCTCCATCAGGGAGCTGGAGTTGGTGCCCGTTTAGTTCCAGTATCAGCTGAAACCCCACTCCCCCCACCCGCACATGAGGTGAGGCTCCCGCGCAGTGGGGCCAAATATTAGAGGAAACGTTGATCCAGGGTCTTTTGTTATTGTACTTCCACTATCTTATCCAAAGCAGAATGCTTCTTCTTTTGAGTGCAACTTGTTCAGAAAAGCATGCGGTTCATGCGAAGAAAGGGAGACTTCATAGTGCTGAGAATATGAAAGATTTCTGTCTTATGCTTAAAGAACCGAAGATGAAAAATCATAACATAAATGTGAGTGTTCGTAAGAAAAACAGAACTGAAAGAACACAAGGTATTTAAAAGAAACATCCAGACAGAAAGCTAGCTGTGATAACAAGTCTAATGGTGAACCCAAACAGAGGAGAGACCAGAAGGAAGGCAGAGGGCAAATTAAAATTAACCTATCTGCCACCAGGGCTTTCTCAAACATTATTTTTGGATTATCACCATTAACATCTTCTGGCTGCAAGACAACTTTAGATTGGTGATTTCCTGTCACAAATCTGGGTGAAATTCATTCTCCACTATAGGACCTCTAGCAGAGGCTCAGAAAAAAACAATTACAGTACTTATCAAAATAGCTGAAACATAATGCAACCCTGTTCAACAATCAGATATGCAAGGCAGATGGCAGCAGGGCAAAAGGACATATTTCAAACACAGGAGTGGGTTGCAAGATGAAAACAACAAATTTGAAAATTAAAAAATAAAATCGGATGTCTTGTTCTATCTAGCCTGCAAATTTTGCAACCAGAATCAACCAGAATAATCGTATTTATTTATTTATTGGACTTATATGCCGCCCCATAGCGCTACAAGCACTCTCCGGGCGGTTTACAATTTTTTTTTTAATTATACAGGCTACACATTGCCCCCCCAGCAAGCTGGGTACTCATTTTACCGACCTCGGAAGGATGGAAGGCTGAGTCAACCTTGAGCCGGCTACCTGGGATTTGAACCCCAGGTCGTGAGGACAGTTTTAGCTGCAGTACAGCGTTTTAACCACTGCAAGGTTAGACAAGTCACTCTAATGTCCCTTAACCGGCTCGATCAGGAGTCTTAGTGCCAAATTAGGACTTGCATAATGCCAGCTTACAAATGATTCTTGAGGCTACAAACTTCCAGTAGCTTTAATGTAAGTGTTATCTCACTGCAAGTGAACTGAGTGGCATACAGCCCACTTTTAAACTCAAGCTGATGCTGCAACACAGTGACACATAACAGAACTGCCAGAAGCATTCTTCCCATATACAGACTATAACTGCTGAGGATTGTATGTAAGATGACTAACGACAGCAAAATTCATGCCCAGTCTTTGAAGAAAATGAGATCAGGACTTGTACAGTACAACAAGGATAGATCTAGCTTCCTAATTAGAAAGGAAATCAATCAGTTTGGATAGATAATATACTTTGTTGTTGTTGTTTAGTCGTGTCTGACTTTTTGTGACCTCATGGACCAGAGCACGCCAGGCCCTCCTGTCTTCCACTGCCTCCCAGAGTTGGGTCAAATTCATGTTGGTAGTTTTGATGACACTGTCCAGCCATCTGCCCAACCATAATATACTAGCAATTCCCAAATGCCAATTTGCAAGAGAACTGATAGCAAGAAAGTGAGAGCCACCACAGTGGATAGTGCCTCAGACTAAGACTCAGGAGACATGGACTCAAATCCCCACTTGGCCACAGAAACTCATGGTGAGGTGGGGTGGGGATGGAGATGGCAAGGCTAAACCCCTCTTTGAACATCTCACCTATGCCAAAAAAACATGTTAGGATTATCTCAAGTTGGAAGGGCTTGATGGTTTGTAACAAAAACACGAGAAACTATGTAACAAGCAATTTTAATTTTTTAATTTATTTACTAAACTTATATACTGCCCACCTAGAACATGTCTACTCTGGACGGTTTATGTAAAAAATAAACTAAAGATAAAATCCGAATTAATCATAGAGTCCAAGATGGAAAACGAAAAAGAGGAATAAAGGAAAGATACAGTGCTCCCTTGCAAGACGATGTTAATTCGTTCTGCGAAAATCACTGTCTTGTGAAAACATTGTCTTGCGAAATGCGGTTCGCCACTGGAATACATTGAAATCCATTTAATGCGTTCCAATGGGGAAAAAATTATCATCTTGTGAAAATCGCCCATAGAGAAACCGTTTTGCGAAGCAGGGACCCAGCTGTCAAAATCGCTGTCTTGTGAAAAATCATCTCTAAAAAAAACTATTTTGCGAAGCACAGACTCAGCTGTCAAAATCGTTGTCTTGCGAAAAACAGTCCCGGGAAAAAACTGTCTTGCGAAGCATGGGCCGAAGCATCGTCTAGCGAAAATTGCCCATAGGGAAAACCGTTTTGCGAAGCAGGGACCCAGCTGTCAAAATCGCTGTCTTGTGAAAAATCGTCTCTAAAAAAAACTATTTTGCGAAGCGCAGATTCAGCTGTCAAAATCGTTGTCTTTGCGAAAAACGGTACCGGAAAAATACTGTCTTGCGAAGCATGGGCCGAAGCATCGTCTAGCGAAAATCGGCCATAGGGAAAACCGTTTTGCGAAGCGCTATACCGATCGCAAAAAACCATCGTCTTGCGAATAAACCATTTTGCGAGGTAATTGTCTAGGGAGGCACCACTGTATAGACTAAGTAAAAAGCATTTAACCACCTAAGGTAGTTCTGACAATGAAATTTTCTAATGAATCTACAGAATAAGTAAACATTACAGTGATGCCTCACTTGACAACGATAATCCGTTCCGTTCAAGTCGCTGTTAAGCAAAATTGTCGTCAAGCGAAATTAAAAAACCCATTAGAATGCATTAGAAACTGGTTAATGTGTTCTAATGGGTGAAATACCTAATCATCCAGCAGCAATCCTGCATAGGGCAGCCATTTTCCGGTGCCTGTAAAGCGAGCAATCAGTGCTAAAAACAGCGGGGAGCCATTTTACACAGCGGGCAGCTGTTTTGCAACCCGCCGATCAGCTGTTTTAAAATCATCATTAAGTGAACAATTGGTTCCCAAAGCAGGGAACCGATTGTCGTCAAACAGAAAAAGCCCATAGGAACATTCTTAAAAAACCATTGTAAAGCGGATTCGTCATTTAACAAGGTAATCGTTACGCGAGGCACCACTGTTCTTTATGTAAGGGCCATTCCCAACTCACAACCCCTTTTTCTGTCAGATATACATGTCATGCTCATACATTAAGATACATTTAGTATCTGTACCACACTAATAAACCTAAAGTGGGTGACATTCCTGTAATCATTTTAGTTTTTAGCTCTTAAAATTATATCTGTAAGTCTAAGCTGGCAAAGGTTACAAGTAGCTTTTGGTCCATGAGAATTAATCCAAAAGTAAATGTAGGGTGACAACTTTTATTAATTGTTTTAGAAGATGTTGCCGTGTTAGCCTGTTCTCTCATATCAGGCAAAAACAAAATGAAAATACAGTAAAAGCAAACTTTTATTGAAGGTCTGCTTACTCTCAAAGCAAGCTTTCCAGCACTCTTCTTTTTTGGATTTAATATGCAAGCTCAAAAACTTTAAAAGAACTTGAATGTATACTTCCAACACTTGTATACTGGTTACTATAAGATTTTTCTCAGATTCTTTACTAGGTTTTTCTGTTGCAGTATTCATTGTTTTCCTCAAACTACTAAAATATATGAGAAGTGAGAATTCTGCACATTATAACTAAGCCAGAAAATGTGCAGACTGATCCTGTGTATATTTAGTCATGCCTAACTGTACCTAAGAAGATAAACCATATAAATTTATCTTATCAGACTAGGATGTTTAGATTGTAAGCGCCACGTTTATTTGATTGCTGTAAGTTTTTCAGGCTGCTTAGCCGTGTTCTTTTACTTATTTTATTAAAAATATTCCCCCCCCCTTCTCCTTAAAAAGGACTCAGCAGCTTATGCCATTTAAAAACAAAAGACAATTAAGTATACAAATATTTTAAAAAATCAAACAAATAATACAAAAAAGTAAACAAAATGAACAAAAACAGATTAAAAACAACAAGGTTGCTTTGCTGTGATTGATCACTGGATTTAACCATTCTTAAGCATTTTTCTGTAAAAGGAGTACTCCAGTCTCTTATTGCCATCAAGTATTATCCAACTTATTGCAATGCTAATAGGCTTTTCAAGGTATAGGAAATATTTAAGGAGTAGTTTTACCATTAACTCACATGCATGCATGAACATAAGAGTTTCTGTGGCCAGTTGGGGACTTGATCCCAAGTCCTACCTGTCACTCCCTCCACAACACCACACTGTAATTCTCACAGACCAAGCAGACCCAGCAATTCTGACCCTTTTCTGAACAAAAATCAAGCAGGCCAGTAGAGGAGCAAAAGTTCCCAAGCGCAGAATTGCAGTGGGTGGCTACAGGTGGGAGGGAACCCTCCATCCCCGTCTCAGGAGGAGAGGGATGGAGCCAAAGGTTGGGAGTTCGATTCCCCCACTGTACCTCCTGGATGGAGAGGCTGGACTTGGATGCTCCTTATGGCCCCTTCCAGCTCTGCAGTTCTACAGCAATGACGACTGCTCAGCAAAGTTCCCAAGCGCAGAATTGCAGTGGGTGGCTACAGGTGGGAGGGAACCCTCCATCCCCGTCTCAGGAGGAGAGGGATGGAGCCAAAGGTTGGGAGTTCGATTCCCCCACTGTACCTCCTGGATGGAGAGGCTGGACTTGGATGCTCCTTATGGCCCCTTCCAGCTCTGCAGTTCTACAGCAATGACGACTGCTCAGCAACTTATTTATTTATTTGATTTATATCCCGCCCATCCGGTCTGGTCGACCAACTTGTGCAAGGATGTATTTTGGCTTCAACATAAGAGCCACCATTTGCAATTGTTCCTTTTCATGTTTCCCCCTCTTACCTCCTTGTCGGCCCCCTGTCATAACCCATGCGGGCAGCACGCCTGCCCACTTAGTATAAAACTTCCATGGATCTCATGAAATGGCGAGGCTGCCACACAGAAACTCCCTGGTGCCATAACAAACGTGTGAAGCCTTTGACGTGCCTTAAGGCTCTTTTGTTTCCCTGGTGACAACCACCAGCATTTTCACCCTGCTGTTACTTCAGGATTTTCGAATGGACCGCTCAAGGGCTCTCGGCAGCCTCCTTCCCGCCCGCAGCTCCTCCTTTGGGAGTATTCGACCCCTCTTCTCCACCCTCTTGTACAGACCTGCCCCATCATCCGCTTCTACTGGCCAGAATATCGGGGCCTTTTGGGGGGGGGGGGGAGGGAGGGCAGAAAGAGAAAAGCTTTGTGCTTTATGGAAATAAATGTCCCGGGAAAAACATGAGTCTAAAGGTGCTCCCAAACGGTGCCAATGCAAGCAAAGGTCACGCGGGAAAAGGAAAAGAGAGAGAACCCCGTGGGCTACCGGGAAGCAGATACACCCCCCCTCCTCCTCGAGGCTTCCACACACACACCGAGATCTGTATAGTGAGCCTATAAGGGGCCTGCCCTGCTTTCGTTCCCGCCCAGCAAAACTCACCGGACCGGGCGCCCATCCGCTTCGCGGCCACCACCACAGCCCGGATGGCCAACCTTTGTGAACCGGAAGTGAACGCGCCCCTTGGGAAGGCTCAAGAACTATTCCCCCCGTACACACTATATGAAACCAGACCACGGGCTTTTTCTTTCTGCCCGCCTCCTTTACCTCATTAGGCCTCGCCCTTATCACAGGCCTTGTCCAATCAGTCCCGCCTATCTTAAAGAAGGCCCGCCCCCTCCTCCGATGTCTTCCAATCGTTTCACGAAGGAAGCGGCTTTCCTAATCGCTTGGGTGGCTAGAAGAGAGGGATTCTGGGAGTTGTGGTCCAAAGCTTCTGGGAGCGGACAGGCTCGCTACCCTTGGATGGGAAACGTGTGGCCTTTCAGATGTTGGACTACAAGGCCCATTATTCCTCACTGTTAGCTCTTCTAGCTGAGGCTGATAAGATTTGGAGGGCCTCGCATTCCACAGCAGTATCCTAGTACGTTGGTAGAGAAAACCCCTGGAAGACTGTGACATCCATCAAAGGTTGGAATCCTGAAACTATTTACCAGAAAGCAAACTCCAGTGAAATATTAATTTGGGGTTAGCATTTTTAGGTGCAAGCGATCAGGATCACCGGGCAAACGTAATCTTGCACTTGTGTGCTTGTTAGGGTCCAACTTGACACATTTCACAGTAGACGTGATTGCAGCTGCATAGAGATCAATAACACTTGTACACCATAAATGTAAGTAATATTTGCTCTCTATTTATGAATGCAGCCACGGCGTCAAGCTATAAAAGATCGTCAGCAAGTGGCTTGTTTTCATGCAATTTAATATTGAACATATCCATTCGCTTTTCTACATCTTGTCCAGCCCAACTCAAATGGTGTCACAGAGACAACATACTAAAATATCCAAGAAGGGCACCAGAAGACAGTCAAAACATGTGCCACCTGATCCTATGCCTTACTGCACAGGATTGCATGCCTAGGGTGTCATCTCCTGCCACACCCTGCACTGTTTCTGTGTCTTTCCTCACTGAATGACATTTAGAAATATAATGAAAGTAGTGATAAAGCATTTATTTGCTCGATTCCAATCTCCACAGCTATACACAGCCGAAATTTTAGAAAAGGCTAGAGACTGGATTTTTCAGAAACACTCCGCTAATGGATGAATATGCATTTGTTTTACTTTTTCTTCTTCTTCGTTAATCTTTGGGTTTGCGGCTGGGAATGTCATTTTCCTTGCTGTGCATTAAATGGTGTCTTTGCCTTCATGGGGATGATGCCTTAGTGTATATTTACATAGGTACTATTGAGGTCGGCCTCCTTCAGGCATGATGAATAGGGGGGAGGGATAGGGTGAGTGGGTTTCATCACTCCTGATAGGTTCTTGGTGTGCTGTAGTATTGTTATTATTATTATTATTATTTTGGCTTTGTTAATCTTTGGGTTTGTGGCTGGGAATGTCATTTTCCTTGTTGTGCATTAAATGGTGCCTTTGCCTTCATGGCGATGATGCCTTAGTGTATATTCACATAGGAGGTACTATTGAGGTCAGCCTCCTTCAGGCATGATGAATGGGGGTAGGGATAGGGTGAGTGGGTTTCATCTGTCCTGATAGGTACTTGGTGTGCTTTAAGAGTCATGTGTGAACAGTGGCCAACTCAAATCACCTCATTTCTTTTGCAGGAGCAAGAGGACCTCAGAAACACAGTAATGTAATTTTTCCATTCTCTGATCACAATGAAAATGCATACACATTTATGACATGGATCTTTGTTTGAAGTTTGCTTTTTCAGTAGGGTAGAAAAAAACTATACAGTTCATTATAATGCAATATCTGAAGCAAGGATTCTTGAACATTGTACTTTGTTAGTCAGTTCACACGGAGAGCTCTTCTGGATCACAAGCAGCGATGAGTAATATGAGACCAGGAGACGTAGAAGGAACATTGATACAGGGAAGCCAAGGTGGGGCAGGGCAGCAGGGACAGGAAACAGGTGAAAATATGCCCCTTGTCTTCATTCTGCCCAGCGTCTTCTTCCTGGAATCTGTGAAGGAGGATCCACCTTTCCGATACAGGGAAGCCAAGGTGGGGCAGGGCAGCAGGGACAGGAAACAGGTGAAAATATGCCCCTTGTATTCGCGAAGGCTTCGCGAAACGTCAGGAAGAACCACCTTCAGAACACGGCCAAGAAGCCCGAAAAACCCACAACAACCATATGCCCCTTGTCTTCATTCTGCCCAGCATCTTCTCCCTGGAATCTGCGAAGGAGGATCCACCTTTCATGAAAGCTCACTAGTCTGGAGTAGATGTGCTGTCTTGAATATACGTATCCTACCAGGACCATTATATACTTGTTGTCTTAGTTCTGAATACTGTCACGTAATATATTGTGAGGGGAAAGACCAAAGACAAGAGGTCTTTCTGGTGGAGCCATCTCTCCCTAAGATATCCAAAGGGACTCAAGCAACCCCACCCCCTACCCCACCCCGAAAGAAAGATCAAGGGATAGACACCCGAGAGCTGGAGCAGAAGAACATGAGGGAAAGGGGGGTATCGCGAGCAGTGGATACCCAAGACTTAGAGAAAGAGTTGAAAGGGTTGAGTGTGGCTACTCCATCTAGGGTCGAAATGGCGGGAAAAAAGGAGAAAGGGCGGGCTCTGGAAGAAGGGGGGTTAGGGGAGATAAATACAGCCCGGGACAATACCGCGGGTGGTTGGGAAACAGTCTGGATGCAGGATCCATGGACCAGGAGATGGGAACAGGTTCGCGTGCCTAAGGCTGAAGCTGAGAACAGGAGTCATAAAGGTTTACCCCAGAGACCATCGTATCGGGGTGAGTCTGAGACAAGGGAATGGAGGAGAAAGCTTAGAGAGGAAAAGGAAGCTATTGCCAGAGAAAACGAGGCACACCGGGCATGGCATCTCGAAGAGTTAAGGAAGATGGGGTGCTTCCTGGACCTTGGGGTGACTCATCAGGAGAAGGAACCCCATTATGGGGCTGGATGGGGGATGAAGAGACCCTCCCGCTTTTAAACCAGGATGACCCTGGACTAGAGACAGTTGAAACAGAACGGGCGATTGCTGGACCTTGGAATGTTACTATTGTTAATCCGTTTGAAGAAAACTTATGGTTGCCCTTGTCTGAGCCATTGCTTGAACAAGAGATACAGAGGAAAGATCATGTTAAGGTTAATACCCCGTTGGTTGAATTAATAAACAACACAAATCCGTTTGATTCCAATGAGTCTTGTGATTTATTCAAGAAAGGGAAAGCCCATCTACATGAACCTTCACATATATGTGAAATGTAAATCATTGTCATCATCAATGAATTGCAAACATGCCATCTTATCTTCCAATTTTTTTGGATTTGGTTCCTACTTTTTAGGCTTTACCCTTTAGTTCACACCCATGAGCCAGCAATGCTGATAAAAAAAAGAAGTGCAATGCAAGGATAATTCTAAATATCTGACGCTAATGAACTGTGCCACTTCCCATCTTAGTGATGATGTTCACGTATGCTCTGAATTATGTCTGCTATACTCCTGGGCCCTCAGGAGAGGGTATGGCGAAAGAATTTTAAAATAAAAATTTGAGTGGGGTTTTATTATTGCTGCAGAAGCATGCAGCAAATACTGTATATCATGCAGCAGAGCAAATCAGCAATTCTAAAAATGGGGGCAGTCCAAACAATAAATTATACTTTTTTAACTGGGTTTCAGATCACCACCAAATTTGACATAGGTCTAGCATACAGTCCACTCTTGCACTGTGCCAAATTTGGGGAACTTTGAACAGAGTTTTCTAGTTATGATTTTTCAAAAATAAAACTGTTTTACCACCACAGCTCCTCTGTTTTGCAAGGAAAAAACAACAAATTCACGTGAAGAATCAGAAGAGACAATTCAAGGTCAATTAAAACAGATCAATTAAGTTCTCCAACTTAATAGTGAATCAGAAGGAATCCAAGCTTTCCCCAACTTGGAGTTTTCTGCATGTGTTGAACTACAACTACCATCCTCCTCAGCCAGCCTGATCACTGTAGCCTGACACATCTAGAAAGCCCCAGGCTTGCAAGGGGGGCATTCTGATAGGTTCTTGCAATATTTGCATTGAATAAATGTAGTCTCACACTAAATATTGCAATATTTATTGACTAAATATTGCAATATTCAATCATTGGAGAAGTCTTTCATGGATGCCTCTCAATTCTCACTAGTTATTGACTAGTTATATTATACTTAATCAAGGGTTACTGACTCCCAGTTATTGCCTCTCAATTCTCACTAGTTATTGACTATATTATATTTAATCAAGGGTTACTGACTCCCAGTTACTTAACAACAGAATCACTCCTGCAAGGCCAGGACTGGACTTTTGTATCAATTCAATTCAGTTCAGATATCAAAAGCATGTTCTTCTGCACCTGGCTGATTTTAGTGGATCTTGATACAGTATTTGAGCAAAAACGGATAGCAGTCTAGATGTGACAAGCCTGAAATCTGCCAGTTTTTAATCTGATAGGCTGCCCCTGCCTGTACTGAATCAAGCACCAAAGACTCATAACACATTGAATATTCTGCAGAGAAGTAAATCAAAACAAGTGACTATTGATGAAGCAATAGAGAGATATCATTTCTACCTCTTGGGCTGCTGTTTTGACACCTGTCTGTCTGTCTATCCCAGACTGGCAGATGTCAAAGGCACAGGACCTGCAGAGCTGGAAGGGACCCTAAACGTCTACCAGAAGGGTCTTCCCCCACCCCCACCCCCATGAACAGCTTTGCATCCTAACACTTGTTTTTACAGTTATTTCAAAATATCTAACTTTTCTACTACCAACAACACTATCTTAAACTCATAATGACTATGAGCCCAAAAAGCGATCAGGATGTTCACACACGTTAGCAGTGGTTACTGTGGAGGAACTAAGGCAGGGTACCACCTTTTAATTATTCATTCATTCATTCATTCATTCATTCATTCATTCATTCATTCATTCATTTATTACAGTCCCGTGCCATCGTTCCTCCCATTTATTTATTTATTTATTTATTACAGTCCCGAGCCATCGTTCCTCTAAGGAGCTCAGGGTAGCATTGGCGGGGCCCCCTTTCCAGTTATAACAGGGAGCAGCTTCCTGGCTGAGCTGGGATTTGAGAACCCAAGTCTCTTGCACCCGAAGATCTTACACGCCGTCCACTACTAGATCCCATTCTCTCTACAGTAAATGTCTATGGAAATGAAACTTTCGAGCTAATATTTCGTGTGATCCGGACGGCTGGTGGTACCCAACTCTTACTGAAATCCGCAGGGGAAAATCTTTGGGGTAGGAGAGAGCGTGCAGAGCACCCACACCGCTGCTGCTGGTGGTGGTGATCATCATCCCCGGTTTCCTAAAGAAGAAAGACACCTACTCGCTTATTTTTCAGATCCGCAATTCTTATGCCTGGAGGTTAACAGACCACAGCGGGCCCTCGCCTTTCCTGAGAGGGTGCTAAATTAAAGAGAAATCGCCTTAACCATAGAGCGATCAGTTCCTCCGTCTTCCTAGCGATCACCAGGAAATACAAGAGCGAGGAGGAGGAGGGTGAGGGTGGTGGTGGTGGAGGAGGACTAGGAGGAGGACTAGGGGATTACATTAAACTGGGACCTTCCTGTTCCCAGCAGCCCCCTGAGCAGATCCAGGAGTTCAGCCTGAGTGTAATAATAGCCGCCGCCGGAGCTGAGCTTTCTCTGCTTCAGGTCACCAAGGGAGGTTATTCTCTGGCAGCCTCCATCCCAGGGCAAGTGAGCTGGAGCCGAGAGGGAGGCGGGGAATAAAATCGAGGTAATTAAAAAAAAATTTCCCTGCAGGATGCAGTTTAGAGAGGACGGGCAACTGGGGATGCAGCGCATTCAAGAACATGCTGTGTTTCGGTATCAGCTTCTTCCCTGCCCCCATTCTCCTGCAAATCGGCGGTACCGCTTTGCAGCCCCCACGTTGCTAACAGAAGGCATTGCATGGTTTATGGTCGTCGACCTGGCGCTTTTTTTCCCCCTGCCCCAGGTTCTCTCCCCACCACCCCGCTCTCCCTTTTCATTCACTCAACGTCGGTGCAAAGTCGCAATTGCTCCCTGTTGTTGACAGGTCGGGTTATTTTAAAAAAATCGCAGTACAGTATTTCTGGGGCGGCTCCTGCAGCCTTCTCGGGCGCTTCCTCTCTTTCCTCCCCCCCTCGCCGCCCCCAACCTGCTTGCTCGGTGGTGACATTGCTCGAGCCCAAGATGGCCACTCCCCCCACCGCCGAGATAGAGAAAGCTGTCATTTAAAAGTTACAGATAGGAGGATGCTGGAATCCGCGTCCAGGGCATCAAGATCGAGGGGTTTTTTGGGGGGGGGGGTTTGTGCGTGGGGGAGGTTATTTTCCTAAGACAGATGTCAAGCGGTATAGGTGAGAAAGGGTGGGTCAGCTGGTTTAATTTTTAGGAAAAGCTTTCCAAAAATAAGATTTTACCTTTGAAAAACGAGTCTTTACAAAGCAGGCCTATAGGTGTTTAATCAGAATTAAGTTTCATTGAGTTAAATGGGATCGACTCCCAGGTAAATTAGGGTAGGATCACAGATTTATTGTGCATTCATCTAGCAGGAAATCTGTTGGTTTGGGGGAATCATTTTAAATGCCTTTGTTGCTGTTATGATTAGATAGATCCCTGTGCATGATTTCAGTGAACACCTTGTTGCTGTATTAATTTCCCTTCATAGACAGAAAGAAAAGAAAATGAAACGAAACAAACAGAAAAAAAGAAAGAAAAAGAGGCTTGTGTTTATCTTTAATAATTCATTTAAGCATGTGTTCATAGATTATAATCCAATTCCTGAACTGCATTGGAAGGAATGGATTATATTCCATGAACACATGCTATAATAATTGTACTACAAGATCTTTTGTTATGTTGAAACAGACTAACATGGTTACTTCGGCCATCAGTAATTCAGTGGTGGACAGTTTATATTATGCCAGGTTTACAGGTGGGCACTGTAAAAATATATTCACACTGGTTGTTTGGTTGTGCAGCTGGTCTGGACTAAATTCAGCACATCTTACTTTCAAAGTATAACAGACATTCAGTTGCAATTGATTATTGCAAAGCAACTAAGATTCCCTTGATCAATGAATTAATTGTTAGAATCTGTATGTGTAGAAAGCAATTGATTCTGAAGTGGGGAAAACACTTTTTAGATTAAGCATATACATGACAAAGTGCCTCATTCAGTGGTGGAGCACCTGAGGTTCAATCCCTGATACAAAAAGTAAAAAGAGTAGGGGGAGGTGCTGGGCTACATCCTGCTCTGTCTGAGATCCTGTAGAGCTTCAGCTAGCCAGAACAGGGAAGTATCCTGGCCTAGATAGGCACACTATTTGACATGAGGCCGACTTCTCCTTCCGAAGTTCAAGTAACCTTAGTTGACTTGCAAATCATTAATTTATAGAACTCCATTCTCTCCATTTAGGTAGGTAGGTAGGTAGATAGATAGATAGGTAGGTAGGTAGGTAGGAGGAAAGAAGGAAAAATCTTAAGTGATTTTTCTATCCAAATTATTCCTCTAGCCCCTCCCCTCCATTACAGAAATCTTAGTTGGTTCCATGCCTTACCCCCACTGTATTATTAGACCTACTGTAGTTTTTTCTGGGGCGACTCCCAAGTCCCATAGTAACACACATACAGTCCTCTATGTTATTGATGACATTTTAATGGCAGGAGCCAGATTTGTATGTGGTGGTAAAACCAGGAAGATGTTTTACAGCACCGTAAAGACTAAGGAGCTTTTTTTGGTGGCATAAGTTTCCATGGAATTGGAACCCACTTCTTCAGATCCATCAAGGAGGTATTGGCTTGACCAGTTACAGGAGAGACTGGAAAATTGGCAGTACTTTGTCTGTGCTGTTGGTGTAATTGGCTAGACATTATCCATCATAATCAGTGATAAACATGCATCCGTGATAATCAGTGATCTTTTCACGATTATTCTTTTGCCAGTTGCCAGCTGTTGGCCTGATCATTCATAGTGGACTGTTCATGTGAGCAGGGTGAGGTTGCACATGGTGGCATAGTGTGATATCATCCAGTTTAATATGTAATATTCTATCATGTTATACAGTATTCTGTATTATATTGGATATGCTATGAAGACTATTATAATTTTTTTTTAGTGTTTCAGTTGCACTCCTGTGCTTTGGGTTGTCAGTTGCAATCAACTAGAGATACATGTGGGATGGCTTATACTTGCTCTCTCAGCTAACTTTGAGAAGCAGTTTGTCGTCATAGCATGAGAGTCAACTGTCTGAAGGAGAGTGCAAAAAAGGCTACACATTTCACAATACATAGGCAAGAGTCTTGCAGTGACCCAGCATCAGGGAGGACAACTGTTTGCCCTTCAGATGTTGTTTGATTGTAATTTCTATCATCCCTAGTTTACATGGGGGGGTGAGTGGGTCTTGATGATGGATAGTTGTCCAGCATTATCTTATTCACTGCCGAAGGTTTCAGTGGCTAAGTGTTTCTTTAGATCCCAGCTTCTTGGTGCAGACTGAGCCAACACCATTCGTACAATTCAAAATTGCATAGCAGTTCATCCTCCATCATACGGTACACAATCCCAGCACGACAGTGGAACTTAAAATGCAGATTGTTTGAGTGAACATACCCAAGGAGATCAGGAACCTTCAATCTCTGGGCCAGATGTGAGTTGAGATTCTCCATATGGCCTGCAAATCTCTTCCACTCTTGGTGATGAAAGGCAGGAGCCTGTTTAAAACCTGGGAAAAAGCTGCATGGCACTGCGCTTTGTATCCTATGGCCTTCAAAGAGAATCCCAGGTAGCCCATGATTAGCGCATGATTTGGTTTGCACGTATCCACATGAAGCAGTACAAGACAAAAGTGTTGCCTTGAGTGCATTTTGTCAGCAGTGAGCAGGCTCCCTCCACCTGACCTCCCAGAGGGTGTCTGGATATAAGCCCCAAGTGCTTTGCTGTGTGACTCCATACAACGAGAGATCATCGATTAGCAGAGCTGGATAAGGCTCTCTATGCTTGTAAATCCCACAGAGAGCCTTATTCAGCTCGGTGGCGGCAGCGAGGGTAGGATTATCACAGGAGAACATGTTTAACATGAGCCTACAGTTGGTTATGTCCACGTTGGTTTTTTTACTCAACAATTTGTACATCTCTCTCTACCTATTTTACAGATTTTTGAGAATTGTTCTTCTTTTCATCACAGTAACACTCTGGCCTGGGGTTAAGAACTCCTTTGAGATGGAGCATGAAGACCCGGGCATTGTGGTGATTCATGACTCGGATGACAACAGGATTGCAAGGAGAGTTTATGTAGGTGAGCAGCTCAGTCCATTATCCAATGCCTTGTTTGAATCCTGTTCATACTTCATCCCCACTTCCTCTACCAAGTGCCAAGGATGGCATTTAAGAGCCTTTCCAGTCTGCCCTCTATTTCTATCCTGACAACAACCCTATGAGGTAGTTTAGGCAGAAAGATAACCACTGGCCCAAAACTATCCAGAATATTTCATGGAAGGGTGGAGATTTGGACCCAAGTATTCCGAGTTGTAGGCTGATATATTAGCTGTTTTACTGGACTTGTTCTTCTTGACATAGTTTGTTCCAGAATCCATTTGAAATAGATAGAATAATGATCTTAGAACTGCAGAGCTGAATGAGACTCTATGGACCTTCAGGTCAAGCCCTTGTCAAGGGGGCACACTGGGGAATTGAATTGCACAGCCAGAGACCTAAGCCATTGAGCCTTCTAGAAGTTTATCTTCTCATTTGTATTGTCTTTGACATAAAAACATTGATACTACCTTGATCTAGAAGGTACTTGTGGATCACCTAGTCCAAGTCTGTGGAGTTTATTACAACTCCAAAATCCACCAACCAGAAATAAATGCAAAATAATGGGTGTGGAGAGAGGATATTCTTAAAGAACACGCTCAGCCCAGGACCCAAACAGACCTATCATACATAAACCCCCTCCTGGTTTGTGCTTCTCCACCCTACCAATTTAGCAGCCAAATTTAGAAAGACAAGGGAGTCTTTACACTTGTGCTGCTGTCAAACTACAGTAATAATAATTATGTGTCATCAAGTGAATTCTGACTTCTGGCTCTTTTCAAACTACAGTAATAATAATTATGTGTCGTCAAGTGAATTCTGACTTCTGGTAGCCGCTTCCAGAGTTTCCTAAGTATGGAGTACTCAGAAATAGTTTACTGTCCCCTTTACTGGGGCGAGTACTCAGAAGTAGTTTACCATCCCCTTATTGGTGCACTGTGCAGCTTGCCCAAGGTTATATAGGTTGGTTTTTCTCATCTTCAAGCAATGTGCAGCTTGCCCAAGGTTATGCAGGCTGTCTTTTCTCATCTTCAAGCAGCACAATGCAGAATTGAACTCCCAACTTCTGGCCTTGCAGCCAGGGACCCAATTCACAGAATTGAACTCCCAACTTCTGGCCTTGCTGCCAGGGACCCAACTCGCAGAGCGATCCAGCCAGTTTGTCATTAAATGCCTGGAGGTTAAAGATGGCAAACTAGATAGAGCCCTTATCAGTGGATCTTAAAATATCTTATGCTGTCCACCCCATTAACACAGATTTCATGTCTTAATCCACATAAACACTATATTCAGCCTATTTGCACAACAAACCATCATGCAAGAGAATAATTGTTCTGTGTTGAACTACTAATTCTAATTAAGATGGAAATGTTTCATCTTGCCTGTGGCCTGCATCTCAACAAGGCAGATGTTAGTCTGAACACATCTAACGTCCCACCCCTTCACCCCAAGTTGTTTTTCATTTCTAAGCAGCAGTGTACCTATGCCACAGTTCCCTTGGCATGGAGTGCAGCAGCACTTGGCTTTCTGAGCTCCTCTGCCTAGGTGTACTTGCTCAGATCTCAGCGGAGTAGCAGTGTACCTATGCCACAGTTCCCTTGGAATACACACAAAGCACACACTAAGGCATGGAGTGCAGCAGCCCTTGGCTTTCTGAGCTCCTTTGCCTAGGTGTACTTGCAAGGAAGTGGGCAATGCTTGCTCAGATCTCAGCGGAGCGTGGGTAAGCTTTTTAAGTGGTTGGGGAGAACGTCCTATTTGCCTGCTCCTAACAGTGCCTCAACAAACCAATTAGTAGTGCAATGTTAGAGATAGCTTGATTCAGATATTACCCTACTTTGCGTTTTGCATCTTTCCTTGAAAGCAAGGCAAAGTGTTGATGTCAAACACAGACTGCTGCTAATCTGCAGGCTCAAGCGCATCCATCAGTGTTCAAGGGTGGGAATACTAACTTGTCAGCAGTAATGGTGGGAAGGAAGGGAGAAGAGGCAGAATCCACACAGTGGTTGACTTTGAAATGTAGAACTGGGAGCTGGACTTAAGTCGTTCACTTTGGTTCTGCTATTCCTCTGTCCAAGACAGTCCCAACATTCCTAACACATGGAATGCTCTAAATAGGCCAGTCAGAACAGAGGTTAGTCTCCTTAGTCTAGAAGACAGCAAACAATGCAACAGGAGAAGTGCAGAAAATTAGCTTAATGAATGCTGCTTGCAAAATGAGCTCTTGCATAATGTTTGGATTGCCAGTCCCTAGGGGCATGTGTTTCGTTTTTCTTAAAACTCCCAGACATACAAAAAGGGTGGGGAGAATCTATGGCTCCCCAGATGTTTCCAACATCTCTGGCTGCTGTTATGGTGAGGGATGATGGGAGTTTTAATCCAGCAAAAGCTGGAGGCCTTCAGGTTCCTCATTGCTGCTCCATTCTGTTCTGTAGCCTGAAGACCCGCCCGTGGGTCTCGGCTCATTGCGCTTGCAGAAGCTGATGTAGGTGGCTCTCTCCTCTTGCAGCCGATGAAAGCGGAGTTAGCGAAGGTGAAGACAACCATCACCTGGAGCACAAGATGGTCCAGCCCAGCATCCAACATGGGCAGCCCAAGTGGAAGGCAAGTTCACAACCTGAAGGCCTGGACATGGATCGGCAAGGGGCCCCGCTCATCCCCGGCAGCTACAGTGAGGGAGAGGTGGCAGTAGCAACGGCAGTAGTTTCCCGCTCCAGCAAGCAACGGCCCTTCATCTGCAATGAGTGTGGCAAGAGCTTCAGCCATTGGTCAAAGCTGCTGCGGCATCAGCGCACACACACTGGCGAGCGGCCCAGCACCTGCACTGACTGCGGCAAGAGCTTCTCGCAGAATTCGCACCTGGTGCAGCACCGGCGGACCCACACTGGCGAAAAGCCCTACGTCTGTCGGGACTGCGGCAAAAGCTTCAGCTGGAGCTCCAACCTAATCCAGCACCAGCGCATCCATACCGGGGAGCGCCCGTACACCTGCGGGGACTGTGGCCGCAGCTTCACCCAAAGCAAGAACCTGGCCAAGCACCGGCGGACACACACGGGCGCCCGGCCCTTCCGTTGCCCTGAGTGCGGGCGGGGCTTTGCACACACGGCGGGCCTGATCAAACACCAGCGCCTGCGCCACGACACAGACTCCCCTATCGGGCACCCTTGCCCAGAATGCGGGCAGCGGTTCCGGGCGCCTTCGGAAGTGGAACGCCACCGGGTCGCTCATCATGGGGTCGCTCCGTCTGAGCCATTCATCTGTGTGGAGTGTGGGGAGTGTTTCACAAAGAGCACCACACTCATCCGCCACAAGCGAGTGCACAAGCCCATCTTTGTGCGCTGAGACTTCTTTCCCTTTGTGGGAGGGGAATTCTAAGGGAAGCCCAGGTTTGGAGCCAGAGCCAAGGAATCGGGTCCAAGGTGAGTCCTTGACTGCAGCTTGTCTTCCTTGGCCAGGCAAGAGACCCTGGCAAGCAAAACTGTGGAGCAGCAACAAGGGGTAGAGGGAGGAGATAGGGTTCAGAGCTTGGACTTCAGTCACTTGGTGGAAAAAGAGAGAGGGGCTGCTCAGAGGATGAGGATCTTGTTTGGGCCATTCTCACCTACCTTCTGAGAGCAAGCCTGCAGACCCCGCTGCTGTACATAATATGTGTAGGGGAGTATTCTTTAGCTAGAAGCCATAATAGAAACTTACAGGGGGAGGGTGGGAAAGCAGTCCTGTCAAAATACAGCTTCTGAGCACTTGGACGGAACAAGGAGAAAATAACTCTCGGCAGAACCGAGTTGGCTGAAAGGGGTGCAGACCGTTAGTAAAGCAAGATGTTGTTGGAAATGGGGACAGGGAGGTTGAACGTTTTGTGAACAAATAACTTTTCTGCATCTCCCCTTTATTACTGAGTGCAGGCCTCTAGTCAGCCATTTCCTACAGCCTACATGTTCTGGTCTCATGACCAAAAGGGCAGTTCAAGAAACCACAGGAAGCTGGGCAATGTTATCAGAAATGGATATGTGATTGATCTTGAACAGATGATGGATGTACATTGTTGAAAAAGCCAGTACCAGATTACTGCGCAGAAGAGCAAGACAGAGAAGAACACATATTAAGGAAGTAACTTGTTACCCAAAAATGCAAGGTTTTTTTTTCAGTGTCTAAGGCAACTCCATTATAATATGAATGTAACTTAAAAGATTCATTACACTCATTTTGCAATGTAAGTGATTTCTAATTACTGGGGGCATGGCCTTACTGAGTGTTCTTCATCAAAACACTTTGATAGATAAAAGTTTAGGACTATATATATAGTCATTCGGAATAATTTTCTAAGCAACATTTAGGATTGAAAATGCAGGTTTGGTGCACTTCAGTGAAGAGACTAGCATTTGGGGCAGAACACAGAAAATAATTATCTGGCTTCAGTGTTCATGGCTGAGGAAACCATTAAAAGAAACATTTGGTTTGCAAAGGACTTCTCTGTCATCTCTTGCTCTGAATACATGGTGTCCAGGGATGTTCCCTTCCTAATAAATAACTGCATTTTGATTCTACTATCTGTCCCTACATTTCAGTAGGTCATTACTATTGGTATATTAAGTGCCTTGCAGGGTAAATATAAGCAGAGAGAGTCTAAATTTCATGCGGAAGAGGAAAGGCAATGGGATAAATATGATCATCTGCAGCAAAATATACACTTAAGCTTCATTTCAACTGCAGGGGTGGGGGAGGCGGCAAGGACTAAGGAGTTAAATCAAAGGCTCTGAGATACAGATGTTTCAAAGCAGTGCCAGAACATGGGTGTTCAGAAACAACATTCAGATCCTCATGAATGGTAAGAAAAAGAGTATACAACCCTTTAAAAAGAGAATCTCTCAGGCAGACAACTGGCCAATCTCAAATGCAGCCTTGGAGGAAGAGCATGTAGGCCTGAGGCTAACTGCAACTTACACTTTTTAAGACCAAATCATAGCATGGCATTTAAAGAGAAGACGACAAATGGACTCATCTGTTCCATTCCCCTCTACTACAGCTGCAAGATGAGTGTTTGAGGTTTTGATTCCACAGTCAGAACCAGCTATTAGCCAAGCTTGCTGGGGAGATGGGGGTCACAACTGAACACATATCAAGGGCACCAGATCAGGGAAGGCTATTGTAGAGATTACACTCTTCAAAAGTATCCTGTCAGCAAGAAATTCAGCCTTGCAGAGTAAGGCCTATTCTAACTCAGTCATTTATTGCATTCTTTCACCAAACCACGGTCTTACTTGCAGGAGAGCCAGCAAGGTATTAGCTGCCCACTTTTGTACCTGTTTCTTGCATTCATCACTCTCATTTCTGAAGATCAGCCCATCAATCCATGGAGGTTACTTGTTCTGTAATCCTACCTGTTTATTTTGTACAATTCCATTTACAAATAACAGTTTTCAGTGTTGTTTTGAACTAGACAGCCAGCAATAAAACCACCCCAGCTACTGAAAGTCTATTCATTTGAACAGATGGGATCCTCAAGACGTCATCATTTCTAGAAAAGATCCAAGGTGGACTTCCACAGGTATTTGCCTAAATAGATACGGTTGCCCCCTCCCCACCTTCAGTTGCACAGTTGGACGACGGGATGCACCCTATGGTGCGATATTGGGTTACATCACAAAATGGTGAACTGTAAAAAATGTATGAGTGACCCATGTTTGCTAAGCTTTTGTTGCTGCTGCCTGTGAAGCTCCTGCTGCTGCTAGCTGCTGAATCTTCTGGCTCATCATTTCTATCACCGCTGCAAAAAAACAAAAACAAAAAACCACAAAGAGTCATGAATCGATTCTAGACATAACTGCAATAATCAAGTGGAACATTAGCTGATCTGAATCCCACCTTGCTTCATGGCATGTTTCTCCTGCAGTGCGGGTTGGATTTTCTCAATTTGTTTTGTTAGGAAATCAATCTTCCTCTTGAAAAAGTCTCTCGCATCATCCACTGACTGCAAGAGCAAAGACAATGTGACATCCCTGCATATTGCCAATGTTACCTAAAGAAATGCCAAGCTGGAACCTTGCAAACTCTAAACATGCATACTCATGCTTATTTAAACTAGCAAAATGTGTCTCTCCAGGTGATTCAATACTCTATTTCCCTGGCCACCACTGACCTCAGTAGCCATTCTTCCTAATAATGGAGAAAAAATAGGTTGCAATCTCATCCACATTAGCAGCATGACTGTTGATACATACATACATACATGCATACATACATACATACATGCATACATACATACATACATGCATACATACATACATACAGACATACATACATACATACATACATTACATGAGACGACTGGCTCAATAGCTCAGTGAATTAGATACCTGGCTGTTAGCCAGAGGTTGGGATTTCAGTTCCCAACTATGCATCCCAGAAGAGCCAGCCTATGTGGCCTTGGGCAAGCTGGACATTGTCCCAGGGCACCCCAGAAGAAAGGAATGGTAAACCACTTCAGAGTTCTACCTAGAAAATCCTGGAATAAAATCACCATAAGTCAGAATTGACTTGATGGTTCAGTTATGACATAAGAGGGGCTGCCTGAATTTTAAAAAATTGCTCTGAAACTCTGTTCTTAATCGGATACTTTAATTGTGTGATATTTAGGTACAGTACTTTGTACTGCCTAAAGAAGATTTTTTTCTTGCAAATATCTAGCACAGGGCGGACTGCTAGTCTAAAGGTCTGAAAACCCCAAGAGCAGGCCCTAGTAAGAGGCCCCATGTTGTGTCCCTTACTAAGCTGAATCATTTAGGAGCTGCAAATATAGAGAAATCAGAACACGATGCTTCATGTGTGACATAAGAAAAGATATAGTCAAATATGCAACTTGGTTTGTTCTTTTTTTTTCATTCAGTTCTTTCTTTAAAATCTTAAACTATGCAGCTAGCAATAGACTCATCTATTCCGAGAACTTTAGAACAACAACAGGGAACTGGTGCTCCTCTAGATGTTGTTGACATCCATCTTGCATCATCCTTCACCTGTAGCCATGCTGACTGGAACTGCTGGGTAATGGAGTCAAGCAACATCTGGAGGGCCGCAAGGTCCTCACCTCTTCTATAGAATCAATCTGGCAGATGGTTAAAAATGCAAGCCATCAAACCATCTTCATCAAATCATGGCAGCAGAACAGCTGTCTTCACATGCAGACTGATGAACTGCTCAACTCCATCCAACAACAACAGATCAGGGCAGAAGGTAGTGGAGGATAAGCAGGTATTGGCAATTCACTTCAGGTTAAATCCAGCTACTTTTGCTTCTGACAGAAACTGGTTTCATAGATAGCTGGAATATGGCGGATTAGTACCTTACCTTTTCTACATAGTAACCTGTCCCTACATCTATCAACACATTGTCAACATCTGAAAGCTTCCCAGGAACATACATCTGTAGAAGATGTTAAGGATATGCACAAGAGTCTGAGAGAATGCAAATAGAAAACAAATTAATTCTGGGTCAAGGACAAGATGCCACTCTGCAGGAGATAAGAGTGGAGACTGGCACACTCCTGGGCCTTATAATCACCAGACTCAGATGAAGTACACACATTTGAACAAATGAAAATGAAATGAAGAAGGGAATAGTAAACAGCTTCTGAACACTCTGTGTGAGAAAACCCTGGAAAGTATCACCAAAAGTCAGAATTGACATGATGGCACATTACTATTATTGAACAATCCATATATTCTTACATGTCATGTGCCTTGAAAACAAACAAACACTAAAACACATTTTCTGGCTCTCAAACTCATGGATAAAACTTTGAAAGCATGCAGCCTCAAAAAACAAAGAGGCTGTTAAGGGGTGATATTTCTATCACTCATTCAATTCTTTTTTAATTTACATGACACCTTTCCCTTGTTCTTTAAATGTCATTTATCATACGTCTTTGCAAGGTTATCTACAGAACACACCAAAAAAATTTCCCCTAAAACAGGATAATTTTGCTTGCTCATATGCGTCTTTGCAAGGTTATCTACAGAACACACAAAAAAAACATTTCCCCCTAAAGCAGGATAATTTTGCTTGCTCATATTCTAGTATCCTGGGAGTTCCTTTACTAAGAGGCCAAAATGCTACACTGAACAGTCATGTCATTCTGATAAAGTGAGATTGCTGTACACAGGGCTATGCACCCAAATCTCAGTTATGACATGCAAGTAAGACAACCACCACTACGAAAGACAAGGAATTATTATTACAGAACAAAACAAAGTGCAAAAGGGAAAGAGCAACTCTGTGGACTCCAGGATCTTGAAAAAGATGCAGGTTTTACCCTTTTCCAGCTACCGCTGACTACAGTCTGCTTAGTTAAAATCCGATTTAAAGTGATGGCTACTGTTTATTCGAGAACCAGGAATCTGTACAAAGCACCTGGGACAGGGGGGAACAAAATTCAAGAAACATGGAGAAGAAAAGCATCACATTGCTAAAGAACTGCTGGAGCTCAAGACATTTCACTGTTGTAATCACCGTATTTGGAACACAAGTGGAAATGTCATAAAGGTAGAAGTCTCCCCAATGACATAGCTTCCAGAGACATACAAAGATATAAGAAACCCAGTGTGGTACAGGGGCCTGAGGATTTGGGTTTGGGAGATTTAGGTTCAAGTTCTTACCTGGCCCTAAAACTCAGTGGGTGAAATTGGGCCAGTCACTATCATAACTTGCCCCACAGGATTACTATCATGCAGATACAATTGGGAAGAAGCAGGGCCATACATACTACCTTAAGCTCACTGGTGGAAGGTAAATGCAGGTAATGAACGGATGAAATCCTCTTGGGCAGCTTGGCATGTGCAATAGTGATGACATAATCACCAGCAGCCAACGGCCACCAATTAAAAGTGACCAGAGTGTATGTGACTTGTACACAAAGCAACACAGTTGTATGCAGGCTGAAATGCCAGAAGGAAGCCTTCAATTGGCTGTGATTCTCCATTGCTGATGACATAAACATTGTTAAACACAAAGAGCCACACAACAAAATTTCAGCCACTCGATTGATCAACAGATAGATACTTGCAGATGAACCTAGGTCTCAAATTATAAAACCAAGGAGGCAGGGTGAATACAAATAAATAATTTAAAAAAAAATCAAATTAATTTAAATCATAATTTAAATCCTATTTAAATTATGTATATTTACCAATATACCAATTTTTTAAATTCCGTAAGTAGAGGGTCCACTGTATGTGACTTGTACACAAAGCAACGCAGTTGTATGCAGCTTGAAATGCCAGAAGGAAGCCTTCAACTGGCTGTGATTCTCCATTGCTGATGACATAATCATTGTTAAACACACAGAGCCACACAACAGAATTTCAGCCACTCAATTGATTGATCAACAGATAGATACTTGCAGATGAACCTAGCTCTCAAATTATAAAACCAAGGAGGCAGGGTGAATACAAATAAATAATTTTTTAAAAAAATCAAATTAATTTATCAATATACCAATTTTTAATTGGTATTTTTAAAAATTAAATTGTCAAAAATCCAATGCTGTTTATGGAAGAAAAAAGTTTAGAAGAGGTATGTTGTAGCACTATAATAATACCATTTCTTTGCAGAAAGGATACAGAGCTGGAGAGTGGAACCAGTAGTTCTTTACCTGTGGAGAAAAAATATAGTCTTTTTATCTGACAATCTCTGAATCGTCCCTGTTCTGAGCGGAACCCTATTCTTGTGGTGCACTTAAGACTAATAGATTTATTTTAGTGCAGGCTTTTACAGATTTCATCCTACTTGTAGAACAGTATTCAGCCGACAACATATAAACTTGTGGCTTGAATATACATCATTCTTCTAAAGAAGTAGATTGCACTCAATGATAGTTCATGATAAGATGATTTTGTTAACTGTAAAACAAATTTTTCCTTGTGTTACTAAAATAAACTAGTGCAGTTACGTCTATGAAAACAGATGGAAGGACCTCCAAAAGAGTGAAAAACATTTTCACATTTGATAAACCCACACTCTATGAAAAGAAACATTTTCTTCAAAGATCAGTATTCAGCCGACAACATATAAACTTGTGGCTTGAATATACATCATTCTTCTAAAGAAGTAGATTGCACTCAATGATAGTTCATGATAAGATGATTTTGTTAACTGTAAAACAAATTGTCACAAGAAAACTCTTTTTCCTTGTGTTACTAAAATAAACTAGTGCAGTTACGTCTATGAAAACAGATGGGAGGACCTCCAAAAGAGTGAAAAACATTTCCACGTTTTATAAACCCACACTCTCTGAAAAGAAACATTTTCTTCAGAGACAAAGGAGAATCTTAAAGATAGTAAGAGGAGCTGAGAACAAGCTCACATTCCACCCCCCATTTCTACACTGGCCCAAACAGATTCTCTGGTTGACATCCTGTTGTGCAGCTTTATGCTGCATAAGACTAATGATGTGATCAGCCACAGCCATTTTCTGAAATTAAGTTTCCGGTCCCCCAAATCTTTTTGGATCCCTTT